GGGCAAGTCCTCGGGGACATTAAGTTTCTTTAGAAGAGACATCTAACCAAGGGTGAAACCCTTGTTGCATGCCTTCAACACTTGAATTTCATAAGCCTCCGTGACGTCGGCCATACCTTGAGCATATGCCTTCTCGTCGGCGTCCTTGATTTCAGCCTCTTTGGTGGCCAAGGCTTCTTGAAGCTCTTTTTCAGCTTGGGCCGTCTTCTCCTCGACCTCTTTTCTTTGGGACTCGAAAACCTTTCTGATGGCTTCGGTAGATTCAACCTTCTTTTTGGAGTCAATTTGGGCTTTGATTGCAGCCTCGGCTTGGTCCTCCAACTTTTTCATCTTTGATTGTAAACTCTTGTTGGCTTCTTGAAGAACAGAGAACTCCTTCTTCATTTCGGCTAACTTCTCTCGATTTTCGAAAGATTGAATAGAGAAAGAATGTGCATACTGGATAGCTTGAAAAAACATAAAACAAAAGTTATTAGAAAATTTCTAAGTATGAGAAAGAAGGAAAAAGTACCAGATGAAAGACACTAACTTGAACAAAACGTTGAAGCATCAAAGCGTATTTTTCGTACTCGCTCATCTCGGCGTTTCGATCAAGATCGCCGGGGAGGAGCAGAGCAGTACTGAGGGCTACGCCGATGTTGATGTCATCGGCACTGTCGTTAGCCATGACTGGCTTATCTTCCAGAGTAATTTTTGGAGCCCAGGGGGCATCATTCTTTTTAGACCCCGAGGTGGTCGCAGAAGATGACCTCGACTTTTTTGATTTTGGGGATTCTGATGGCTGGGCTTTAGAGCGCTTCTTCCCAGCAGAGGGTTGAGATTTGTGACTCTCAGCCAACTTGGAGATCGGCAAAGTATCCACAGATTCACTCTGAGTTACCTTAGCCTTTGGTTGAGCATTTTTTTATCCTTTTTGGCTTTGGAGGCTGGGTTGGAACTGGCTGAGCGTCAATGTTTGTTGGAATGCTGGCCAGAAGATCTTTGGCAACTGGTTTTGGACGACCCATCTCGACAGAAGAAACTATTCGGCGTCGACGACGGCGTTGTGATATTGGAATCAAGTATGGAGCCGAGGTTGATGGTTGATCAGCTGGATCGGAAGTTGACCCTTGATCTGTCCGAGATGTGGACGCAGTTTGTGGAGTTATGGCAGAAGGTGGAGAAAGGCTTTTCTTCTTCCTCTTACGGACGTCAAGTAGAGCTGACTTTTAGGTTGGGATAAAGTTGAAAACCAAAGGCACCTTCCGTTTGTGAATCGAAAGGTTCAGTAGCTTCTTCAAATCCTTGCTGGGGAGGAAGGAATGACGAAAGTTCTTTGGAGGCTGAGGAAGAACTGCAAAGATAAAACATCACAGACATTATAACAGAATATTGAAAACTTTGTGCAAGAAGATAAGAAAACTTATGAAGGGTGGCCCTTACCAGCTCCTTCCCCGAAAACTGTTCGGCTTAAGGGATAAAGATGGAGGTCATCGTTTAGCTGAAACTCCCAATTGCCCGAGACGATGAAGTAATCGTCTCCAGCTCCCTTGTTGGAGTCTGGGAGGTCGGCTACGATTTTATATTCAGTGGATCTTGGCTTGAGGTAGTAGACATAATCCGTGTCTTTTCTAAGGCGACACATGGTATAACAGTACTGGAAATCGGCAAGCGTAATCCTGACATTCTCTTGTTTGACTAAAGTTATGGTACCAATAATAACTCGACAAGAATTGATGGCGAGTTGCATTGGGTTCAACTTATAGAAGTACAGGATTTGACGAAAAAATGGGTCAAGTGGAAACCGAAGTCCACACTCAATAAAGGCAACCACAGGGAAGGGCATGGAGTTATCTGTAGGCATAATGAAGTCATCATCCCCAGCCAATCTCAGATTGACATCGGCTGGGATTTCAAACTCTTGCCCAAAAAATTCTAGCTTGGAGGGGGTGTCTACCCGATGTTTTCACATACCCATAATATCGGGATAACTAAAGGTATTGGATTTCAGAAAGAAGATGTTTCAAAAAGGGTTATTGGGACCTTGGCAAAAAAACCTAGGTTTGAGCTGGTACAGAAATTTGTAAGGGATGTTTCAGTTTTGCCCTAAATTGTGGGTTCTAAAGACAAATCCCAAACCTAAGTCTATGGAAACAAAGTTGAAGGTACGAATCTGGAAAAGACACAAAAAATAGAAAACAAGAACGGAGTTTCAGAATCAAGAACATAGATGGTCTATCAGGAACATAAAGAATACAAGAAATATAGGGCCAAGAATAGTGGCAAAAGTACAGGGAAGTGCTGAAACAGTGCGTGTGTTCAAGATATGGGCAAGGGCAAAATCGTGGAAAAAAAACACATTCAAATGTATGATTCACAAATTAAAAGTTTGAACAAATGCAGTAATGGCAGCAAGTAATAGAAAACATCAAAGAATTGAAAACGGAGGGAACAGTAAACTCACCGAAGAAAAGAAGTCGGTGTAAGGATCGCTGAAGTCAGACAATGGTTACAGAAGTAACAGAACGGCGGAAGCTTCACCAGAAGGAGGAATGAAAGAAGAGGGAAAAGTTTTTTGTTAAAACTTGAAAAGGCGGCGAAATCAAATTAATGCACCGAGAGCAGCGAATGCGTCAGACTGCGCACGCAGACGAGACGGTTTGTTGGCGCGTCACAAGCACAATCCAATAAGGATAAAACGCGAGAGTGAAATGGTTGAAAAGTGATGTTTTGACAGCTCATACGCATAAAGGAGTTCATTGGAATTCATGATCTTTAAGAAGACATATCGGCCTATGATGATGATCTTGGATTAAGCCGATGTACTAACATGAGGTACTGATATAGGTTCCATCACCTCAGAATGCCGAGGTAATAGAACCTAGGGGCAGTTGTGGGATATATTTTCTAAGTACCAACGCGTGGCTAAGGTGACGCCGATGTGTCAGCTGAGGTGCCACGTGTTCTGGACATGATGCCGAGGTTACCTCCAAAGATATCGGAATCCGAGATAAGCGGATAAGGGACAAGAGTCCTAGAATAAAGAGGAGACTTAGCCAGGATAAGGATAAAACTCTTAGGGAGTTTATCTTTATCTCTTAAAGAGTCCAAAGTAAGTACTGAACAGGAATCCATAGAAGTCAGGCTTCTATTGGGATTAGGATTGAGGTAACAATAAAAGAGAGGCACCTCCATGGGTCTAAGGTACGCAATTTATATTCTGTCTAATGAGTTAAGCACTATTGATTATCTTTGAGAGCTATACTAACTTGATCGTCGGAGTGCCCCCGGGTAGACGAACCACCACCGGAATCTTCTCTTTCTGTTACAGGTTAGCCAAGTGTCATCTATTCTGTCAGTGTTCTCTAACTAAATACTGAGTTGGGCATTGTGATCGGAAAATCACTCACACAATACTATTATACACTTAGATTGTATTTGGATCGTAGATTTGAATACGGAAAGAGAAAGAAAAAGTAATAGAAATGGGAATAAAATATGAATTAAATTTTTTCTTCATTTCTCTTTTTATTTTCAAATCTCTATCTAGATTCGTGATAAAAAATAAAGGAAAATGTTTGAGGGCCACAATTTTTGTGGCCACAATGGCTCAAAACTGTCAAAACGACGTCGTTTTGGGTGCAAAACATGCCAAAACAATGTTTTTTTGACAGTTTTGAGCAATTATGACCCCAAAAATTATGACCCTCTAGCATTGTTGAAAAATAAATTACTGACACTTGCTTTAATCAAGTTGGGCTCTTTATTACCAAACCACTACTATGATTCTCAAGTACTAGCAGTAGGAGGATGGGGTTGTCTGCGGCTGTCCTCAAAGTTGACCTAGAAGAATGCAGCAAAATGTAGTGTTGATATTCTGTTTCCTGAAATAAAAAAGAAAGAAAAAAAGATGGCCTTTGCTTTGTGTGTGTGTGGTACAAAGTGGAAAGTATTTTTAAGGACACTTTTGAAAGTTCGTTTTGATTTTAGTTATGCAGCAACAAGTTCTGCCATGCATAGTGGAGAATACCGAGAATTTCTAATGATTTTATACTATACAGAATATAATTAGTTAAAATGTAAAACTCTAATTGAAATTGAATTGGTTCATCATAAAATTTATTCGTATGATGAATGAACCATATATTAATATTTTAAAGTAAAATTCTAAATACAAATTCTGAGTATATACAATATTATTGGAAAAATAAACACTAACATGCCAATGGCTTCTAATTAAGTTGGCTAATAATTTGGTCAATCTATTGCCATTGTGACTATCTTTGTGAGGGGTTATGGATTCTACTCGTACTTAAACTAGAATGTTTAGGGTAAAGCTTCTTGGTGATTGTGTGTTTTTGAAATTTATTGGTTTGGACTAACTTGATACAAGTGGTTAAGGTGATTTTGTGTATTTGAAATTTGTTGGGGGAGTCTAAATTGACCTTTTTTTTCCCCCAAGTAATTATCAATCTTCTTGGAACACTATGTCAGTGGTATGCCTACTCAATAACAAAGGGATTATGTCCTAACATGACCCAAAAAAACAAAAAAATTAGAAATAATTTCAAAAAATCACGAAACGCCCGTGGATAATGGATAAAAACTAGATTCTCTTGTTTTAGTTGATTCAATTTTACTCATTATTTTTTAAAAAAAATATTTTGCCTTAATTTAATCCAATTAATAACAGATAAAAATTAGATTCTCCTGTTTTAGTTGATTCAATTTTACTCATTAGTTTTTTAAAAAATATTTTGCCTCAATTTAATTCAATTAATAACAGATAAAAACTAGATTCTCTTGTTTTAATTGAGTCAATTTTACTTATTAAATTTTTTTTTTTATAAATATTTTGTCTCAATTTAATTCAATTGATAACATTTGTTAACATTTTTGACAAGAATTACGCATGTGGGTTGACTCACAATATATGACAGTGAATAGTTTTGGATCAAAGGCCAAACCCAATGTTTTGTGCAAAAGTGGTTCCACCTTTTTTACTTGGGGTTGAGTTACTCTGGGCCAAAAATTGGGAGCTATGTTATAGGTTAAATGATATATATATAGTCCGTATGGGCTAAGTAAGAACTTAGCATCAAGGCCTTGAAATGAGAATTGTTAGGTTACATTGCAACTAAGGCCCCAAAAAAAATAAAGCTATGCCCCTCCCCATTCGGCCATTAGTGACATACAAGAAGCACCCAAAAGAAGTGCAAGATTGGATCCTAGTTGGAGCCTAACATTGGTTTGCAAATTAGGGTTCATGAAATCAGCTGCAAGAAGATCAACAAGAGCCATGTAGATCAAGATCCCGGCCGATGCCGAATTTAGAACCCCTTCCACAATGAGTGAAGTTGGGCTATACTCATTATAAATGTTTGATATTCCGATGCCAATGGCAATCCCCGCTGGAGTGGTGAGAGAGAAGAAAAGTACCATAATTGTGATAGCTCGAGACTTGTATTTTGCCTGAACAATTCATCAGTGAAATTAATATGCAGACATATGAATAGAGCAAACACAAAAAATAAAAAACTTAAACTATTTTTGAAAACTCAAAATCAAAATCAAATAAAGTAAATATTGTTTATTTTAAAAGATTTTTTTTTTTCCTTACAAAATTGTGCAACTTAAACCTGTAGTGTGATCCCATTTATAAAAATTCATGGAGTCGCCATCGTAGCTAGCTACCGATGGTAGTCAGTTGTCCACAACAATGGTAGAAGAGGGTTGTTGGTGGCCAAAGGTGGTTATCGGAGGTGGTGGCGGGGATGTAACAGGTAATAGAAAATAGAAAATTGTTTACAAAACTTTTTTTTTTTTTTTAACGATTTACAAAACTATAGAAGATACTCATTTTTAGGGAAGTTGCAAATCAATAACGAGAACTTTAAAAAATTGCAAAAATATTGAAGTACAAGTAAATCTGTGATCTGGTGCACACACATAATCGCTTACATCTCCATGTTTTTATAATTATTATATATATTTTACTTTGCAATTCTCTCTCTTTTTACTCCCTACAATTTACTATTAATTAGGAATGGTAGTTGGGGGAGTTTTGAAGCTGGCCCTAATTTGTTCAGATGCTGGCAAAACTTGTAAATAGCGAAGATGCAATATAAGCCAATCAATTTTTTCACTCATTGTAATATACTAACAAAATATAATGTAAAATTATATATTAAATGATGTGATTATTAAATTTATCATTTTAAAATAAAAATATCTATTAGAATAACATTTAATTATAAAAATATCAGCACCATATCTTTTTTATTTTCTGTCTTTTACAGATGACATCCATATTTTCTAAATCCAATGAATGTGTTATTGATCAAAGGCACTATCCTCAACCTAACAATATGTCTTTATATGTTTGTTAATATTTGAATGTCACATCATTTTCAGCAAACATTGGCTATGCCAAAAAATTAAAAAATACTTTTTATTTCTCCTTTATTGGCAAAAAGAAACAATCTATTAACTAAATGTAAAAGAATTACCACTAAAGATTTTTGTTTATAAGCATCTCGCTAACTAGATTCTTTGTAATCTAATTCAACCAATTTCATATAGTTTTGAACTAGTATAAGACTCCCTTATAAGCTATTGAGAATTTAATTAATAAAATTACTTTTGTTTATCAACTTAAGCTTTTAATTGAATTAATTATCAACAATTAAACCTTAAGCTTCTAGGGAGCATCAGTTACAATAAGATATGTTCGAAATTATGTTTCAATCATATTATCTCGTAACTCCAATAGTTCTATAAGTTATTCAATGTATCACAATCCAAAATTATGCTCCAGTTTGTTTTTAATCGTAATTTCGAGCAAATTACATTGTAATTTCACACACATTGTGTCGTAATCAAAATAGATGTGTATCATTTTTTTTTTTCTGATCGAGAAAAACACCCCAACAACTACATAGAAGTGGAGGATAAGCACCTAACAAGACCTATAGGTGGTTGGGCAACCCAATTAGTGGGTAGAGATTGTGAAAACAAGCAGAAGCAACCCAGTGGGCTGCCCTATTGCCCTTTCTAGGACACCAAAGAAATTTATCATGACCCATATAAAATATATATATATATATATATTTTATGTGTATATCATCATTCTTTATTAAGACAAGAAAGGAAATTGGAATAAAAAGGAGAGTAATTGACGAAATTTGTAAGTACCTGAGAAATACATCCACCAAGTCCCATGCCCTCAAAGAATTGATGGAAACTCAAAGCTGCAATGAGGGGTTTGATTGTTTTTGGACTTTGATTAGCCCCCATGGATATCCCAATAACCACTGAATGAACTACAATTCCCAACTCCAAAACCTATATATATATATATATATATGAATTGAAGATTATATCAGCAGTCTAAAAGTAAATTCAATTTCTCATCAAGAGGTTGAATTTAGCCTATTATGCTTTCTTATAACATAGTAATCAATCGTTCTGCTGTGTTTGACTATTTACTAAAAAGATCAAAAAATCATACAAAAAACTCAAAAATTCTTTCTATTCTCTTTATTTTTTGCACATTTTTCTGAAAAAAGTCAAAAAATATCTCCCAAACATTTCAATTTTTTTACCTCATATTTTAACCAAAAAGGCACTAAAAAAATCACTTCCCAAACCAACCTTTTAAAGTACAAGAATTTTACTATCACAAATAAAAAATAGAGTGAAAATTTAATAGAAGTGTAAAGATATTAAGGATATGTTTGGAAACATAGCCAGAAAACCAATACAAAAAGTCAACCAATTCTCTCTGCCTTTTTTATACGTCTTTTCGTAAAATAGAAAAAGTTATTAAAAAAAGCAATTTCCAAACCAACCCTAAGTGTAACTAATTTGCTATTTAATTATAGCTCTAGAACTTTTCTGCTATTGAACTACGAATTTGATAAACAGATCATGAACTTATAGCAACCAAAATAACAAAATAAAGATCTAAATCCGCTTTTTCACTTTCTTCTTTTGATAAAATTTAAGTTAACTGAAACAAAGGATAAGGAAAACTGTGCAAATCCCATGTAACAGCAAAAAGCAATTATTGGCAAGTAGAATTCTAATAAACCAATAGAAGAAACAGCAACCCCACAAAAATGTTCTTAATATCTCCTTTGCTTAAAAAAAAAGAAGGTTATTCCATTTGATTGGTGATGTAAGTATCAACCAAAAAAAGAAGTAAATTCAAAGCTGAAACAATAGAACCTAATTGGCATAAAAGAAAAAAGGTAACAGGAGGTACTTTTTAAAAGAAAACATGTTTATTGATTAGAATAAAAATATGTGTATTGTCAAATTTCTGATACTTATCAGTTTAAAATTGATGATCGTGACACTTTGATTCCTAATATATAGCTAATTCACAATTTGTATGGCTGGTTCAACTACTATAAAGTTCTTTTTACTCTAGAGTTTTTGAAAAAAATTACGATAACGACACCTGATTTCCAATACGTATAACTCAATATTGTCAATACATGCCACAACAGATACAGATACTTCTTTAGATATTTAAAATAATCGCGGATAGAAGCAAGAGGAATAACCAACTATCACTGAGGAAAAAAATTTAGAACCAACGCTACCTGAGATATGACTCGATTCCGAAAAAGATCTGACGAATCTGATCGCTGCAACATGATGGCAGCGGGCCCATGAACATGGCCAGGGCCACCTCCTCCATCGCTCTCCTCATCGCCATTCACAGGCTGAGCCTTTCTCAGCTCCGCCCTCTTATGATACCCAGTGGCAAAAGCTTCCATCATCAAAGTCCCAATTGCCGACATCATAGCAATAAACCCTGCAAATGGAAAGCCCTGCCATGGATTTTCACTGAGGCACGGACTCGTTAGGCTGTTGAAGGCATCGGGAAGGATGTGAATGAAACCGGTGGCTAAGATCACACCGGCAGCAAAGGCCTTGATGAGGAAGTGAAGTGCACTGTGAGGTTTCAATGCTGAGACATTTTTTAGCAGCAAAGGCATGGAAACTCCAAGTGCACTGGCAACTAGAATTGAAGCTATGGAAACTAGTTTGTATTTGAGTGCCTCTTGTTTGTTTTGGTCCTTGTATTCAGCTTCACATGTGCACTTTGCATGGACTGAGATGGGTGGGAAGAGAAGATGGAGGTATAGGAGAAGGGTTAGGGTTTTGTATGCGTATGGCTGAAGCTTGTTCATGCTTTAAGAGAGAGAGAGATGGTTGGTACTTGAAGGAAAAAAGAATATGTGAAGATGTATTTAAGTGTCGTACATATTTATGTGTATAGAGAGAGATCATGGTTTTAATTAGAGGTATCAGGAGATGTAATAAATATTGATTGCAACATAATATTGAGAGTATAGAGTATTGATTGCGACATAATAGTATTGAGAGTATAGAGTGATTAGTGTTAGAAATTGGGTATCGGGGTCATGAATTTTTAAAAATTACTAGTCACAAAAAAATGTTTTATAACAAATTGAACACGGCGTATCAGCTTTGAACCATCAACTGTAAATCAGTTATGAATCAAAATTTATTAGGAACTGATCAATTTATCAATTATGAATCAATTGGCTATTTTAGTTAGTTTTTTAGTTATTTTATGAGATGAAAAAAGTTGTGTTTGAGATAATTTGTGATTTTTTTTTTTTTTTTTTTTTTTTTTTTTTTTGTAGTTGAATAGATGGTTGTGAAGAAAAAAAAAAGAAGTGATTGATTGATGTGCAAGATGTAACATTTTGTCCAATTGATTATTTTAGTTTTTTTTTTTTTTTGATCGTCTTTATTAGCTATTTTAGTCAAAATCTTTCATGCTAAACAGCCTCTAAATATCGGGAATTGGATGATTTATCAAATGTGAATCAAGCTCATAAATCGACTATGAATCAGTATATATCAGTAATCAATTGATACAGACGTGATTTTTATTTCAATTGGTAGGCAAGGAACTTAGCTGTATGTAGCATTGAAAAAGTAAGAATGAATAGAGCTACTCACAAGGAAAGGTGAAACAATAGTTTTTGTTTTTGTTTTTGTGCTATTTGCATGGCTCTATTAATAATTATAAGAACTGAAAACAGCCACTATAGCTATGGCCAATATATGTATTTAATATGTATATATTTAATTACATAAAAAGAGAGGGAGAAAATGACAGGGAACACAGAGGAGGAGCGTACCGACAAGAACTACCACTCTGTATATCATTGTCTATTTTATATTTTTTAAAGTCATTGATTTTGATATCATGTGATAGATATAGAACAGATAATGAAACATAGAGTAGGAGAGATGATTTCGACTTCCGTTTAAAATAGAACATGACCCTTTTTCTTTTCTTTTCTTTTTCTTAAAAGATTTTTTTTTTTAAAAAAAAAAAAAGAAAAGAAGAAGAAAAAAAAGAAAAAGAAATACATTGCGTCTCACAAGTTTGAAATAATTTCTTTGTGCTCCCTACATATTTTAATTCATATGAAACATAGAGTAGGAGAGATGATTTCGACTTCCGTTTAAAATAGAACATGACCCTTTTTCTTTTCTTTTCTTTTTCTTAAAAGATTTTTTTTTTTAAAAAAAAAAAAAAGAAAAGAAGAAGAAAAAAAAGAAAAAGAAATACATTGCGTCTCACAAGTTTGAAATAATTTCCCTGTGCTCCCTACATATTTTAATTCATATAACACATAATTTCATTTTCGTCAATCATATGTTAATCGTATAAATACAAAATAATGTTATCATATCTTTTTAAACATTCACTTCAAAGCATATATTCCACGAAAGTGTTACTATAGGGAAAACATTCAGAGTTCTAAGCTCTTGACAAACCCTGCAAAACAAAAACAAACAACATACACTCAAGAGTTCCTATGGTTGGCTAAAACTAACGATATCAGATTTTGCGTACCTTTGAACTATTGATATGCTTGGTGCAACTTCTTACAAGTTGAAAGTTGATAAATAAAAAGTTAAAATTAAAAATATTTATCACTCAAGTTTCCAATAATTAGCTTTTTAAAGTTATTTAAGTTATTTTTGTCTCACAATTTATAAGCAATAACTGTACCAAACATTAGACTTTTAATCCTAAAATAAATAAAGTTATTAACAGTTCCTATAAACTGCACCAAATAGAGATTATCTAATTGACATTTAATTTATAATGCTTGTTCCATGGTCACGAGAATTTCATGTAGTTTCTAGATAGAAATGTTTTGCCCATTTCATGTAGGGTTTTAAATAAGTTAAGTAGAGTAGTAAATATGAATAATAAGTAGTAAATATCTCAAACAAGTTTTAATCGAGTAAAACTCAAGTAGTTTAATTTTTTAACAAAACTAAACACAAGGCAAGATCGAATAATTTAGTTGGGTTTAATAGCCCTATACTTTGATAGATTGTTGGTGGTTGGATAAGACTCCATCTTCTGACCTGTTTCTCTTTTAGCCATAAAACAGTTTTGACGCAGTACTTTTTATCATATATAAGTGGAGAAAACACTCAAAACTTTGAGGTATGTATGACATGTTCAATAATTTTCTCCGACCATTATTCACATGTGGCTGAGAATCTAGGGGTAAAAAGATAACCAGACTCCAAAATGATTCTGTCAAACTTGGGATAAATTGAATTGGATTGGTTTAAATAATACAACTTATGTTTTTCAAAAAATAATATAAAAATGGCAATGGGTGATTGATTTACAAATTTTTTTCTTGAATTATCCTTCACATTCTTCTCAAATCAGGGCCTTGCCAGTGAGGTAGCTAGCACACCAATGAGCATTGCACTTAATTTCTACAATTACAGATTAATTACACCTTTGATGTCCAAGTATATGCATTTTGTGATTACTTTATCCTCAATAGGAAAATATTTGAGAATTCTAATTTTTTTCTCTCTTTACCAGATACTCTTGCTCACATTATCTCTCTCATTTCTTCTACATTTTCCTCTGATTCATCCTCTTTGATAGCTTGAGAGGCTTATACTCTCTCATTATTTGCTTCATAGACATGAGACTATATCTCTCTCCTCAACTCCCTCTCCTCCATCAGATCACACTTTGTTTGAGTCTTTCAACGAGACGTGTTCAAACTCAACTCAAGTAAGATTTTCTCTTTTTTGAATCAACAATGATTCATCTCACTAATTTTAGAGCACTAATTGACCACTAATGAGGTAAAAATTCAAAAATTCAAAAAAGAAAAAAAAACCTAAAGCCAAAACATCACATCAGTAAATGGGACCTACTCTCTAGAGTTCCTTTAGAGCTCCCAATTTAAAGCTCCTAAACATTTTTCTTTTTGAATTGGACTCCCATAGTTAATAAGTTTAAAACTACTTGAATTTAAAAAGCCTAGTTTGGAATTACATCAATTGGTAAAAATAAAAAACCCATTGGCACCATCCACGCGTCCTAGGCATGTAGAATTGCATACATAGGTCAAGGTGTAGGTCTTTTATCCACTATTCTCCCCACTAATCACAAGGACAGAGGTTACTAGTGATGGAGACTAAGCCACTATTTTTGCAACTTTCACAATGTTAAGTGGGTCACCATTTGCAAATGGGCAATGCCCTATGATTTATGGCCATTCACCATCAAAGTTCCATTGACTGCATTTTTAGTGGTAAACAAGCCCATAAAGGAAAAAGGATAATGCTAAGGTACAACCACTTAAAAAAGGTTTGTACAATATGTAAATAATGTATTATTAGTCTTATTTGATGCAATTTATAAGATTGTTTATAACTTTTAATTAATTAATTTATTTTTTAAATCTATGCTAAAGTGTTTGGTGTACCTTTGTAAATAGTTTATAAGACAAAAATAATTTATATAAGCTAGAAAAAAAAAAACTAATTATTAAGAAGTAATTATTAAGAAGCAAAGATGGAAAAGATGGATGCACTTTTTTAGAGTGGTATTATTTATTATGACAGTATGTGATATGAAAATTATGCATATTGGTTATGACTCGGTGATTATTTATATATTTATTTATTTTTACTGACTTAAAGTGGAGTTCTTTTGTAGGATAGCTGACAGGGACACGTGTGTCCAAATATGAATGATCTATTAACATATTTAAATGTAGTAGATAATGTTAATTTTTATTAAATTTAATTGTTTTATCTTTATTTTTTTGTAATCACTGTCCGCATAGCGTCAGCGCTTCATAGCTCATGGGCCAACAGACGTAGTCGGACCAAGTTTCAACGCCTAGTCCTAAGCATAGCCTTACTCATACTAACATGGCCCACTTAGGGTACGGGCAGGCCTAGGCCGGGTCAAGAATGTTTGGGTCAAATTATGACCTCTAAGCAACAGTAGGTAATGACATTTTAAAAAATAAAAAATAAAAAAAATAATCTTCGAAGTATGCTTTGCTTGGTCCAAAATAGGTTGAAGAAAAATATGTACAAGATGATCATTGTGATTTGATAGGAATGTGATTGAAGCTTGATCATTGTTTTATAAAGACTAAAGAGATCAGAATTGAGGAGGTAATTATTGTTTGCATAGAATTGAAGAGGATAAGGAGGAGATTGTGAAGCTCTCCCATTGGAGCGTGCCAAGTGTGGAATAGACTTCCTATTGTTGCTTATACATACGTGTTAACATACACATGGAAAAATAAACAAGATTGAATTAGCTTAATCTTAAATAACAATAAACAAACGGTAAATTTATATAAATTTGTATAGAATGATGTGATTTAAAGTGAACCATTCACTTTAAAACAAAAAAAATCCACCCAGGTCAACTTTTATCGCAATTATGTCACTACCACATCAAATTATTGTAGCAATTCTATATACACATTTTGATGCTTTAGCATTTTCCTTGTTCTTAATGTTTTTTTTTACTAACTGAGATAGCTCAGTTGATTATTTCCTCAATATTAGAAGACTGTTTCTTAAGTTATTTATTTATTTTTCGCTATGAGATATTTTTTTATATTAATGTTGTGATTATTGATATTGAAGGTTAAGTGCCGTTAAACCTTTTTATAAATTGTCCAAAAAATTGACTCCCAACTACACAAATATATTGAGGAACCTCTTTGATAAGAGAATTTAAACTTCCACAATCCCCACACTAACTTTTAGATGGGAATGTATGAATCCAGGTCCCTTGTAGAGAGCATTACAGATTCAAAATTGTATCCCTAGCATGGTCTTTCAATTACTCTGTAAGATAGACTTTTGATAAGATTGATGCTGTTAATTTAAATGCAAAAGGAAGCAATATCTCCCCCCTTATTTTTAATAATCATTTTCCAATGATTTT